ATACTTAATATCTACTTATATACTCTACTATTACTTACTATTAAAGATAGTTTTTAGTAGTTTTAAACTGTAAGTAATACTCTAGAGTTAGAGTCTTAAATAAAGCTAGTTCTTAAGAGGTTTTAGAGGTATATAGATAGCTTACTTACTTTAATAGTTAAAGCAGTAAAAAGCCTCTCTAAAGGCGCAGAAATAATAGTATATACTTTAGTATTATTATAAAAGCGTATTACTAAGCTTAAAGTAGCTAATAAGGCTGCTACGTAACGTAAATTATATAAAAGAAAGTAAGTATAGAAAAAAAGAACTCTTATTGTAGAGAAAGGTCTTTAACTTACAACTCTAAAGGAGTTCAAAGCGCGTAGTAATAAGAAAAAAGCAAAGAAGAAAGTACGCGTTAAAGTAAGCAAACTGTCGCAAAAACGCTATAGACGCTACAGCAAGGCTAGTTATAACTTACGCACATATAAGTAAAATACAGTAGTAGATTCTAAGTAGAATAGTCTATTACGATTTCTAATTACAGTTCTATACAGTGCTGCACTGTCGTGCGCAGTCGTGGTTTTGGTGAGGTCTTGGCAAAAGTGCGTCACTCGCTTGGGTGCGTCACTCGCTTGTGAACTACGTTATGTAATGTATGAAAATGGACCTCTTTTCTCCAAGTACCATCTGCAAAAATTATCAATTGGCCGTCGAAATAATTCATGCTCATCCATAAATCGACATGGCCGTTGTAGAAGTGCGTACTAGACTACATAGCAAGGAACTCGTTAGGAACATACAAAGGCATCGAGTCTTCCCACATACTATCCACTAGCAACCTCTTGTTACTACCATCAGCGTTCATGACCATGATCTGTCCATATGGCTGGAATGTATCGTCGTATATCGTAGCCTCATCTCGGAATCCATATTGCGCTGTAGAGTACATGATACGGCCGTCGTGCGTCCAAACCGCATGTGCGTCGTTACCCAGACTGGAGGTCAGGACTTGAAGGCCAGTACCGTCAGGCTTGATGGTGCATACATCAAAGTTCGTGTAGGTGACCCGGCGTGAGAAGACGATACTTGAACCATCTGGTGACCAAGAAGGCAAGTTGTCGTAATTGTCATTAGTGGCATTTGTAAGGATGCTGACTGACCGGTCCTCTAAGTTCATGATGCGTAAGCCATATTCGCCGCCAAAGACGCGATAAACGATGTAGCGACCATTGGGTGAGTAGCTAGGGAAACCAGTATTGACAGAGCCATCTGTCAATTGTTCAGAGAACGAACCGTTGGCAGTCGCGCGGTACAGGGCGCCAGGGCCTGTGCTGCGACTCTGGAACCATGATCCCACGCCAAAGACGAGCCAATCGCCGCTTGAGGTCCATGAGGGCTGGAACGCGCCAGACAGACCCTGTGCTATAGCGGTCTCGCTCATGTTGGCAGAGAAAACATCGAACACCTGCTTGACATCGGTGCCGTCTGGGGACATGGTGATAATGCTCGAATTGCCAAGCTGCTTTTGCGTGATGGCAAGTCTTCCCTGTAGAGAAAGCTGGGGAAAAACGTCGGTGAATCGATAATCCCACTCATCGTCCCAGCTGTAAAGTTCCTTACCCATAGGACGAATGGCATCGAAATCGACTTTCTCGTAGACGACCTGTGAGCCATCAGGCGACCAGGATGGCGAGCGAACCGATGCCTTGTAGGCACTGAGGGTGCCATTACCACCAGAGATGTCGACGTAGTTCAGACCCTCATCATCCGTATTCTTAAGTAGGTATGCAATGGTGTTGTTGCCAATCCATTGTGGAAACATCTTGAGACCAGAGCCTTCTGTGTGTTCCACACGATCAAGACCAGTGTCAAAGTCAATGGATACGAGCTGGCCAGTGACAGCTTGCAAAGACTCAGGTCGGTGCGCATTCCAAGTGTCTTCAGTGAATATCTCGTAGTATATGATGCGCTTACCATCCGGGGACCACTTAGGCGATCCCAGACAGTAGTTTTCTTTGGTAGCGACCTGTTTGAAGCCGGTACCGTCGGGACGGATAGCATAGAGTGATAGCTCCTGGGTATGTTCCCATCCAGTACCGTTGCCATGGCCGCGCCATTGCGTGTTACGATCGGAAGAAAAAGCAACCCATCTACCATCTGGTGACCAAGAAGGACGTAAATAGCTCTCTGGCAAGCTCTCGTTACCCTTGACAAGATCGGTGCCGGTAAGCTTTGTTGTCTGGCGTGTGGTAAGGTCCATCACCCAGATGTTGGCCTTGTAACCATTGGCTGTCGAAACGTAGGCGATCTTGCTTCCATCCGGCGATAATGTCCCTGCATCTTCCATAGACGGTGTTGCGGTCATCATCTCTAAATCTGATCCGTCTGGCCGAACGCGATATATATCCTGCACGTTGAATTAGCCGCTTGATGCTCTTCTGAATACAGGAAAACACCTACCGAGTTGCCATCCCCGTTGCGCTCAGTGGTGAAGGTTATCCACTGCCCATCTTGAGAGAAGGTCGCATGGTAATCGAAATCTGAGTTATTGCCCAATAGTTTGCGCTCATCGCTTCCATCCGCATTGGCGATATACAGTTCTGATGTGCCCGGTGCAATACGGTTCATGAAGAAAACACCTTGTTTCCCCGGCGCCCTACGAGATGCCGTGTTGTCAACGTTCGCGCTAAGCTTCGAGTCGGAGTAAATACATCCTGGCCTTTGGGTTCGGGTGAATGCATAAGGACAACTCGCGCCATGTAACCGCTCTGGTACTCCCGGATGTGAAAAGACCACAGCAAAGGCAGAGTGAACAGCGGAGAGATGTGAGATACGCATGTTGAAGAGATGTGCTACTGCTGTTTCGCAGGTGAATATACTTTGCTCGCAGGTACACGCAAATATAAGCATGCATACACCAAAGCCATGGGCGTAGTGGACCTCTGTCCATACATTGCGCACCCGAAGCTAAACACTAAGCGAAATCTGGTAGGAGATGGATAAACTAATTGCCCAAGCCTTGCGCCCCAAAAGCTTGCTGATTTGCCAAGATGCAAGGGTGGAAGAGTACTCTTCCGTTGCTAGACTCGACGCTTAAGGACTCTCTGCGACGGAAGCATTATCAAATTGTACCCACACTTGGTCATCTCCAGTACATGAAACCAAACTCGACCTACCATGGGTATCCTCCGGTATTATGGATAAATTTGCCACACTCTTCGTCTCTTTTCCCGTCGACAAGTTCCATGATATTCTTCACCGTCTCCTGTGCACTCCTCGCACCAAACTCTTCTTTATTGTGCGGGCCCAGGTTAGAGGCCGTAAAACCCGGGTCATAGCAAAATACCTTCATTTTCGGACTGTTTTCCTCGTTTCTGGCCTCGACGTCGTTCCTCTTGATACCCGTAAAGTCCACCTGCTCGATTCCCAGTCCGTACTCCACATATAGGCACGCACTAAGCATATTGAAAGCGACCTTGCTAGCGCGATACGGAACGGCCTGTATCTTGTACATTGGGCTTTCTGAGGTGAGACGGCGACCGATCGACCCTGCACCCGAGGATATGTTGATGATCCGCGGATTCGCACTTTTTTTGAGTAACAGGACGACCGCGTTCGCAAGAAGCCATGGCCCGGTTGCATTTACGTCGAAGGCTGTAGCCAAGCGTTCACGCTCCGTCAAACCTTCCGGTAAGGCGACTGCGGCATTGTTGAACAGAATGTCAAGCCTCCCGTGCTTTTCTTCGATAAGCTTCGTGGTCTGCTCAATGTGGTCGTCGTTCTGCATGTCGAGATGCACGAGCTCGATGCTGCCCGATAGCTTGCGTGCTTGCAGGTCTTCTAGGGCGGCAGACCCTTTGGTGGTAGAGCGAGAGCCGAGAAGAACATGGTATTTCCCCCTCAGGAGAAGTTGGTGAGCGATCTCGAAACCTATACCGCTGTTCGCCCCGGTGACGAGGGCAATCTCTTTCACGATGGACGACATTGCGGGCAGATAATGAGATATGAATAATCAGAGTGAAGAGGGAAGGGTTGCAGCTGTCTCTGGTCAACAGAAACACTGCTAGACACGACTCTCAAGTACTTATCATGCCTACAGTAGTTTGGCTTACAGCCGGACATGTGAGTACAAAATCCGGAATGACGCGCTGCAGTCAGCGTGGCTGTTCAGCCGGTTCCGTGTGTGCAAATCTGAACTATGCTTTGTGCCCTTCATTTCGTAGTTTAGGCCAGTGCATTCGAACGCCGAACTAAGGAAAGCACACCAAGCTAGTTCATATGCATAGTTCGCGGCCAGATGCAAGCGGAACGAAGTGTTCGGAGATGCGGGAGAATTGGTTTTGCACTCTCAATCACCGGCGCTAGCACTGATATGGACTAATGAAATTGCACACACATCCCAAGCCTTGCAGGTCGCTTGCACGTTGTCAGTGTCATCAACAGCCGGGCAAGGATGGATCGTGAACGAACATGTAAATGGAAGAGCCAGATCACCTGATATCAGGTATGACGGTCTCCTAAATTTCCGAATTTATTGATATACTACCTGCTGGCCTACACTACGATGCCATCTAGGCTACGAGCTTGCGGAGACAATGAATCAGCCCTCAACTCTTTAGTAGCGACCTCCGGCATTTTAAGCCAGTCTTGCTGTATCAGACCTCTTCCGCGCTCATTCATCTGCAAGTTCGGTAGCTCCTGCCGTAATGCAGTGATGCCACCCTTCACGCTGCTTGCTGAAATGGCTTTTGCCCGAAGCACGCTCGTGGCAACGCGGGCAGTATCGCCACCATAGCAAACGATGTATACGCTCTTCCCAACAAGATCGTGTGCGTTGATGCGATCGGGTGTGAATGTAGCCTCTAATTCTCTCCATTGCTTCTCGAGGACCGCAGCGTCTAAGAAAGGGCTCGGCGTAGACGCGTTGAGGTTTTGTAGCGGCAGGTTGTATGATCCTGGAATGTGACTCGCAACAAAGTCTTCCGGCTTTCTCAGATCAAGCAAGACAGCGCCAGTGCGTTCTTCAACGTTATCGGCAAATTGTGACAGCGCTCGTGTAGGAGTAAGTTCCCATGCTTCGTCGTAGCGGTATAGGTCAACTGCAGCTAGGTTCTAGAGACATGTTAGACATGCTTCGACCAAACAAGATAGCCTTATAGAGCGTCATTAATCGAGTCAAAAGAAAAAAAGAGTCTTACCTCGTTGTGTATGGGTCGAAAAGCAGTACTGCCCAGCTTGTCGAAGTACTCATCCATGTACTGGTACGGTCCGTCGCAAGCAACGAAGGCGCATTCGATCAACCCGTTGGCATCTGCAAGCTCAGATAATGTTCCTGAGCTCTTCCGCTTCTCGAGGTATTTGAAGAGCCCTGGTGGCGTCAGTCACTGCTCATCGAGCGCTTCTTGCACCTACCCTGCAAGTTGAAGCCCGAAGAGGGGCCGCAGATTAGTCCTGCCCGACAGAGTTGTAGAGATAAACCGAAAGCATCCTTTGATCCGACCTCTTCTATAGCATCAACAGAGTCGCGCCACGGAAATTCCACAGGGCTTAGAAGAGCAAGCGATCTGGGCCCTGGTACCCGATCGCCAGCGGCAGTGCATACACTGGACACGTAGTCAGGCTATAATTTCGTGAGTGGCAGATACTAAAACTTACCCTAATCGAATTACAGAAGGCTTGGCCGATTTGAAGTACTGGCCAAGACCCGTCATGGTGCCAGAGGTACCCATGCCAGCGCACATAAGACTGATGCTAGGTAACTGTTTGTGAATCTGCGGTCCAGTCCATTTGACATGCGATTGCCAATTCTTTGAAAGTAAGTAAGAGTTGTGCTGGAAAAGGTATACCGGATAGCTCACCGCATCATTTTCGTACTGGTTAACGTTCAGAATCCCTTCGTCTTGCTCGGCCATCATCCTCGCTTGATGGATGCCGCCACGTTCGTCATGCGGTTCCGGCTGAGACGGACCGCCAAAGAGTGTACTGCTGGCAGCTTAGAAATTGTCGACGGTCAGAAGAAGACTGACGTACATATCCAGACCGAAGAATTGCATGAGCCGGAGCTTTGGAGCCGAAGTCTTGTTGCTTAAAAACGCGCGAACATCTTGTATCCCGTGGTTTATACGAGAGACCAGTGCTAAGGAAATAACGGTAGATCCCGAGCTATACTCGACTACTGTTTTCGACTTCCCCGCATGAACCTCTTTGGTTAACATGTTCAACGCTGGGTCCGCATGAGTGATGTGCAATGGTGAATCTTCTTTCACATACCAGGCATGATCTTGACATTGTTTGACGGATGCATAGACATCATCTTTGCATGTATTCTGACCCCATCCTGGTAGTACGGATTCAGACTTGGTGGAATCTCGACAAGAGGAATCATCGGCTGGTGGTCGGGGTCGAAATAGTTTCGAAGAGCATCTGGCCCAGAGTAGGCATTCAAATAATTTCGTGAAACCATATTGTAAATTCCGGAACTTTACGACAAGAAATGAAGGGATCAGGGCGCTGGCACGGCCTGCCCTTTAACTATTGAAGGCTCTAGTGGTAATACATCGGAGCTTGGAAGGAATTGATACTACTATGAAAACAGCGGTTCAACGGGACTGTAATTTTACGGCATGGGTATCATGCGGGATGCAACAATGGAGGTGCTCATCGGTGTCACTTCGTGGGTGTTGTTTGTTGCATCACTAGTATGCAGATCAACGTCGGAGAGGGATTTGTACGGCAGGATTCCCGCTGCGGTCGAGGGACGTTGCGGATCAGCCAAGAAGCGGAAATGTGATCTACAGGCGATTGTGCGACCGGTCAATTTTGTGATAGGGTTGTTTGATGGTATCGCGGTGATTCTGGATGGACGCGAGAGATATTGAGCACATTGATGGCGGCCGTTCGGGATGGGATGCGAACGCGCTAGCGTGTTTACATGTTAGCGCCGACGAACTAAAAGTAGCGTTCAGGAGGTCCAGAGGTCACGACCTTCGTCCTCTGCATGGCTGATACAACGACAAGGCTCAAGAGCAAGTTTACTGTGCATGGGGTGGAAACATTCACCGGTATTTGCTCTAAGTGAAGTCTTTGCGCATAGCGGGTCCTTAATGCACTCAGCAAAGTTTTCACATCGCAGCCTGGTCCAAGACGGGATATGGTGCGAGGCCGAAGCATACGATCTTGGCTTTCGCATCGGATTGCTTGCCACAAGTCACTCATGACTTCCAGGTACCGTACCCGAACATCTCATGGGCCGCTAGCAGGCATCACTCAATGATCTTGCTGCGTTACGCATCTGGTCTGCAGCGCGCACCTTGCATGGTTAGTCGATATCTACGTATATTTGATCACCATAGTCATAGACTTGGGCTACGACCGATCGGCATTGGAGAACCGGCTTGAGTACTATATGTCGGACTGTAGCCGCAAGCCCCATCGATATCTGTGCCAATGTCGTACCCACCACACCGAGTCGAGGCCATATCTATTGGGCTTTGCCCATACTGATCTTGCTATGCTGCCAGCTGGATACCCCATCATACCACAAGTCTCTCGAAATAGCCGATTTGCGCACAACAACGATCGAGCCACATAATCGAATGTATACCATGACTACCAAGAATGAGCCTGGAGCTGTTGTGGGCATGCCGAAGGAACCCCACCCTGAGATGACCCCAACCCAAGCACTCAAGCAGCCTCTAGAGTTCAATGAACAAACTAGTAAGGGAAGTGTGAATCAAAGCTTCAATCTCCACTAACCATTTACTGAAAACAGACTACGTACCAGTTAAGACCATCATTACAGTGAGTACATTGGCGGTTGCAGTTTTCTTCCGTACTTACCCGTCAGTAGGTATTCCTGGCTTGCGCAAGCGTTGATCTGCTAGCTTTGATGGACCAAACGACGCTTGCAGCCAGTTTGACCATCGTCAGCAGGGATCTTAACGCCAGTAACGAAAGTGCTTGGATTGCGGGCGCGTACTTCTTGACTTCGACGTCATTCCAACTCCTATACGGGCGTCTCTCCGACATATGGTCCCGCAAGGTGCTCTTGATCATCGGCATCGGCATCTTCTTTTTCGGCTCGCTAGCTGCTTCCTTGGCACAGTCCGCCCTCCAGCTGATCGTATTTCGTGCATTCATGGGCATGGGTGGTGGAGGTTTGATGACGGTGGCCCAGATGATAGTATCGGACATTGTACCTCTTCGCGAAAGAGGAAAGTATCAGGGTATTCTCGTAAGTGATATTGTAATGCGCTCTGCTGTGTCATACTAACAACCTCTTAGGGCTCGGTCGTAGCCTTGGCGAATGGTATTGGGCCAGTCATAGGTGGCGCACTCGCATCCCAAAGCCATGATTCTTGGTACAGATTTCGTGTTGACATTATATCAACACTATACTAAGCCATTTGAAGGAGATGGATCTTCCGAATGAACCTGTTTCTATGCGTTCTGACCACCGGGTCTGTTGTGTTTTTCATGCCACTCAGAAAGGTGGATGGTGAATGGAAGAAGTAAGTAGTATTATTACACACAGCTGAAGGGCGCTAACCAGACCAGAAAAGTAGCAGCTATCGACTTATTTGGGGCATTCCTAGCTCTCGCTGGATCCGCCTTACTCGTGGTATGTTGCTCGATACCACCCATCATCCATGCGGTCAAAACTTACTATTGTAGCTCGCCTTGACGTGGGCAGGTGGACAGTACGCCTGGGACTCTGTTTACGTCATTGCTACTTTAGTAGTCGGAGTTGCAGTCTCAGTATTCTTCATCATATGGCAGTGGAAATGTACCAAGGTGCCATTGATACCGAGTGAGTTTGGTGCAGACACGGAGAAGAGCGTACTGACCCCGAGCAGTGACAATATTTACATCCAGAGTCGTCAATGGTGCTGGAATAACGATGTTCGTGAATGGCTGGAACTTTCTTGTTCAGGTTTATTACATCCCTTCGTTCTATCAGCTGGTGTATGGCTATTCAGCTGTGAA